CGGGGCCCGGCGGGGGCCCCCCCCCCCTGCCCCCCGGGCCCCCCAGCCGAGTCGGCTGGCCTCGCTGGTACGTGGGCTGCGCAACGGGTGGAAACGCACGCCGCGGGGTACGCCCGTGTGCCGTGGAGAAAAATCCTCCCACGAAAAGGCTGCTTCTCCTTCCCGGGCGGTTGCGGCGCGGCTTACGAGCTCCGAACGGCAACGAGGGATGGAGGAGGATAAAGAAAGGCGAAGCCACGCGTTTAGCAGAGCAAGACGTAACGCTTCTTTGAAACCAAATATTACTCCGTTGCTGTGAGACCACGGCTTAGTTTTAGAAGGCGGTGATGGACGGAGGCAAGCCGGGCTCCTCGGAACGCAAGATAAATGTGATTACGGTATTTTATAACGCGCCAGTGATACCCAGATTACAGTCGCTGGGTCGGCGGCGCACGATCTGCAGCACGCTTATGAAGCCATTTCAAAAATAAAGGGCTTCGCGGCTGTAGCGCGGCGACACCCATGGCACGCGCGGATACTGAGGCGTTGGCAGTGGGTGCTGGGTCGTAGGGCCGTCACCCCCGCCCAGAAAAAGCCGTGTTTTCCAGGGGCTGTGGTTCTGCTCTGGCCTTGGCAGAGGCAGGGCCCGGGAGGGGACGGGAGCTCTCCCCGCTGTTTTTAGACTCCGCTGTGAATATCGTGGTATTTCTCTTCAGTGCGCGGTGGCCAGCTGAGTTCAGGGTCCCGCCTCAGCACGCAGCCCAGTCGGACCGCCCTGTTTACGAGCTGATCCGGTACCTCTTCCCGCAGTTTATATCCGCGTGGTCCCTGCTGCTGAACTTTGAACCCTGTCCTAGGCTTCGAAATTTCCCCTTTTTCAGTTTACTCACAAGCAGGTCATTTTGCTTGTTCCCAGGCCAAGACTGCTTAAATAGCATTATAAATAGTTCCTTACCCCTGCTGATTGTTCGTGCCTTCTCCATGAATGCGCGTGCACATGGATACGTGTTTACCCAGTGTCGGGGATACGCGTATGCATGCACGTATATATTTATAGAGTGGAGTCACGTTCCTTCCTAGGTAAAAGAAGACGCGCTCTTGCCAGCTCCGCTGGTATGACCCCGTTTTGGCTTCCTGTATCATTGGCTTTTCCTGTGCTCGCTGCCTTTTGAACGCGGAACACCAAACCCACAGATAATGCTCCGCGGCTTGCTCTTTATTATAAATAAAGTTTTTGCAGCTGTTAAAACAATGGCCGATTCCTGAAGTTTCGAACAAAATGCAAGTAACGGTCAGGTGTGCCAAAATGGTCAGGGGGGAATCCACGGAAGGGAAGAACGGGGGACAAAATGATAATGGAAGGAATGTCTCACGGGTCAGTTTTGCTAGGCTTTGAATTCCAAGCACTGGTGTATTTTGAGGCTTGTTTTGAAAGGCTGTAGCTTCGTGGGTACCATGCCAGCATAGATGTAAGAATTCATTGAAATTTTAGTTTGCAAATGGGGATCTTGGGCATATGCACATGTGGCTTATTCTCCAGTCCGTGTATTGGAGCCACGTCTTACCTGTGTCTCTATTTTTCTCTTTCTTCACCATTCAAGAAGAAGAAAAATATAATTATTGGTGTTTTTATTAATGGTTGGGGTGAAATGTCTAAGGTAAATTGCACTTTCCAAACAGTTAATGCTACTTAGGTGCATACTTTCTGTATGTAAGAAATCTAAATAGTTCTGGTAACTGGAAAATAATCAGCTCACTGTAAATAGGAATGTGCCACCCTAAATTTAACGTCTGGGGAAAAAACGGGAAAGTCAATCAGTACTTTTAAATGATAAAATAGGTTTAAAATTAAGGCACTGTTTTGACTTTGAAGCATGGCTGAATCTGCAGAAATTGAGCTTAAAAGACAGTGAAGATGCTTTTTTTTATTTATTTTTTTTTGTTTTGTTTTTAAGGTTACTGAAATTATATTAGCGGTTAATCCATGTAAGACCAAGTAACTAGCTGGATTACTTCCACAAAATTAGACATTAGGAAAAATTTCTTCACCGAAAGGGTTGTCAAGCATTGGAACGGGCTGCCCAGGGAAGTGGTGGAGTCCCCATCCCTGGAGGTATTTAAAAGATGGGCAGACGAGGTGCTTAGGGACAGGGTTTAGTGGTGGGATGGCAGGGTTAGGTTAACAGTGGGACTTGATCTGAAAGGTCTTTTCCAACCTAAACGACTCTATGATTCTATGAAAATGGCATTTGGAAAACTGAGAAAAAAACACAGTTTGGGGCTAGTACTGCGAGAAGCCAGCTGCATGCTAGCTATGGAAAGGTTTTCCACCTTGGGATAAACCGTATTTTCAAGTGCAGTAATGGTCACTTTGTCATGTCTTCATGCCACGGAGAAGGTGGCAGCCTTACTCTGTACGGTGAAGGCTTTTAAATTCCGAAGCCTTGCAAAACATAGAAGAGTCAGGCTGTAGATGCTGGGATGGCTGCTGACAGACGTTGCACAAATCACTACTTCATTCACTACGCGATTAGGGTGGTGCTGAGTTAATGTGGCTTAAACGAAACGCCTTCCAAGGAAGAGCATCAGAACCAGGAAGAAAGTCTGAGTGTTAGATACTTTGTGAAAGGCGTCTGGGCTGAAAATACTAAGTGCGACATGCCTTTTCATTTGACAACAAATCCTCCCTCTTAACCACTGGCTAATCTCTTGATACACAGAAAAGCTGTAAGAGGAGAAATGAACTAGAAGGTTTTGATTCTTTAAAGGAGCTTAGGCTCAGCTTTTAAAATACTGAAGATAACATCAACTCTTCATAAATTTTGTTCCTTTGTCAGATTTTCTCTCTGGGTTAAAGCCCTCTGTTACTGTAAAATCACTGTTCATTCTGTGGAGTAACATCATGCATCTTTTTGAAAGAGTAGTTTTAAGGACTAGGGTTTACTGACCTGGAGTCAAGTCTTTCTGATACAACTAGAAGAATCTGAGTGACGGGGGTAACTTGTTTTTTCTTCTTCCCTGCTTCCCTCAGAATGACTACCTTTTGCATGGTGAAACTTTTATGTCAAGCAACCAGAAATGAGAATAGATACGGAAGAAGATTCTTTGGTACTCTTCTGACACAACCACCACAAAAGCGGGTCTTCTCTCCATTCTGGATGGGGGTGCCTGACCCTAGAAAGTCAGCTGTGTTCGTACTTACTCAGCCACTTTGTACAGCTGAAAAACCTCACACAGAACCAAAAAAGCAAGCAGCATTTGGAAGCGTTGGGCGGAGAATTCCCTATCGGATTTTGCATGTAATCAACCAGGATGGAGAGAGCTTAGGAAACATGCACCGAGCAGAGGCACTCAGACTTATGGATCAACATGACCTGAAACTAGTTCTCCTTCGTGAGAACGCAGAACCTCCTGTATACAGACTAATGACTGGGCAACAGATTCATGAAGAACAGCTTAAACGTGCAGAGAAGAAAAAAGCAAGTCCAAAACCAGGTACGTACATTGTTGACACTACAACACCGAGCGCTTTGAAAAACATTGCATTAAACATGGTTTCAGCAGATGAAATCCTCTTACTTGGCGTTTGTGTAAATTCAAAGCAATGTCACTGCAGTTCATGCTGTTAAGGAGTTGCAGTGGTGAAGATAAAATTTTGGATTAGTTTAGTCTTCCACAGAGAAGCCTTCTATTGCCTTCTCAGGATTTACTGTTTTGGCATCTGCTAGCTGTTCTTTTAAAATCTATTTTTATTTAAGTGACTATAACTAGATGCTGGTTCCATAAGACTCACTGAATTTCTCTTCTTTTACTAAGGCATGAAGTGACATGCAGTTTTTACAAACAGAGCACCAGAAACACCAATACAGTTTTGCCTCCAGTAGTCATTTCTAGCGTGCTGCTAGGAAGACAAAGTCTGGAGCCCTTTCTTGTACAGAGTAAGAGAACAACTTTTTCAATACTGAACATTTTTCAGTGTTTTCCCTTCAGTCAGCCTGCTCCAGCAGTTTAACGAACTGAGTTTGGCAAAGAGGTTTTGGAAAAGGCATCTGACCTTGTAGCCTCTTTTCTTATCCTCAAGGTAATGAAGGTATCTGTGCTTTGGGTAGAGTTCTGATTTTAGAGGAGAACACTACTGTGGTAGTGAGTTTTTCTGTTCAAGAAACCACACAAGGATTATTCAAATGGTAACTACTTTAGAGAATCTTTAAGAGACCACAGATTGTTCAAATATATTACAAGGCATCATACTTCCAGCTGGGTATTGCACTTCCCCATTCAAGAAAATGGGCTTGAGATGAAGAGATATCTAACTTCAAAACTCTTACATTCAGCTACACTATGTGTAGAATGAAGGAATTTGCACACCAAGTCTTTAGTACTTTAAGCCTTCTGACCCTGAAGAAACTTCCCCATGTCTCTTAAACATGCACTCGGTCTCCCAATTACGGCAGCGAGTGTGAGACACCAAGTAGCCACCTTCTAAGGCGAGAGTGGTGCATGCTGAGACAGTGAGATTGGGGTGCTCTGTCTATGAGAAAGGAGCGCAGGGGAAGGGACTTAAGCGGACAAAGCATCATAGACTGTTGAAAGATGGCAACTAATACAGGTTTGTCAGATGTTAAGCCAATATGATTTTAGTTCTGTTTTAAACAGGGATGGTTCAGAAGGAGTTATCCTTTTCGTCAGCTATTGCCAAGAACGACTTAGAGACCAAGATGAAACAGATAGCACAGTGGATTGAAAAGAAATACCACGTTAAAGTTACCATCCGGCAAGCAAAAGATAGCAATACAGACATGGTAAGTGCACTCCTGAAAACCAGACCAATCAATTTCATGAAATAGGTGTACTTGTATTAACTACTTCCCCTATTCAGTACTACTATTTTTTTTTTTTAAATACATCATGCACTGATAAAATAAGCAAAGGTCTAGGTCCTATTAAAGCAATGGTTGGCGCATCTTAAGCTGTATCTGTTCAAACACAGCAATTCTAGAAAAGTAGTCCCACAGAGACAATTCAAATACCATGCATTCTTAAGAATGCAGTTACAATATTGGCTTTGACAGCAGGGTCTAAGCAGTTCCTACTCCTTTGCAGCAACACCTTATTAACGGGGCTGGTGAAATTTTCCTGTCTATGCCTTAAGCCAGCTCACTCACTGAAAAGTCTAACAGTAAGGTTTAAAAAACATTCTGCTGTATTTTAGCTGGATTATTTCAATAACCTAATCTGAAGATCCATTTGCGCAACTGTGGCCAAGGTTAGTTTTCCCCACAGCAGTGGAAAACTACTGGAATGATGTTCCAAGACTGGCAAAGTAAACATCTGTAAAGATGTTGGGGAGCTGGTGGCAACTTGCTAGTGTAATTGTAGGGCCTTGAGACTTGTCTTCATTGTCATTTGCACAAGTGGCTTTTTTAAAAATAGAGATTCCATGTACGATATTTTTTTTTCCTTTTAATATGTGTAGTGAATTAGGTTTCCTTGATGAGTCTCTCATTGTTGGCAAAAAATGTGGTATCACTTCATCCAAAAGGAATAAAACTTTTTCTAGGAAGTTAAATTCACAGGGGAAGGGTAGCAGGAGGAAAAACTGGATATGGGAGGGAGCAGAACATTTCATGGCACAGTCCAGATTTAGGTTGTCCTTAAATTTAAAAGTTTAATTATGAGTTTGAGTTCAACTTGTTATACAAATGCACTGTATCGCTCAGTTCAATACTACCACTTCCTGCTAACCTTAGAACAATACTGCCCCTTAAGAGGAGAGACCCTTAGTAATATGCCTGAATCTAGTGGAAGAGGAGGGTGGGGAGGAGTCAGATGCAGTTGTAATCATCTTCACGGACACCTTTAAACAGCAAAACAGGATGCATCGGGAATTCAACCTAAGTGTTACGAAATGGCTTAATCTCTCTGACTTTCCTAAACCTGCTTATGAGTAAAGAACAAATGATTAGGAAAGGACAAACTGAACTGCTCAAACCACGAGTAGCATCTAGCTTGTTTCAGCTAATACCACAAGCAGGAGATGGTCTTGCTACAGAACAGCCTGAAATATTTTTCTACCTGTTTGCGCATTTAGTCCCTGTTTTTCTCCTTCTCTGCAGTTCATGCTTTTTGATCAGATTTTGGAGACTGTCTCTGAGAAAGCCACTTATCTTTCCAAGCCAAAAGTTACTAGAGAAGGAGTGAGTAGCTGTATTCTGAGACACATGTCTGACAAAGAGTTGAAAGCATACCAGAAGATGGAAAACCAGAAAAGCAGTACAGTAAGGAAAGATGAAAATGAAGATCTGAAGTCAAGTGAGTTGCATCAGTGACTTTATGAAGAGGTGTAAACAATAATTTCTTATTTAAAAAAACCCAAACCTATAAACTTAATAAAGTTGTTGTTGAGCTTTACAGTGGTCATTCCATGAAGAAAGTTGTCTCCATTAACCTTTACCGCAGAGTCAGAATTTCAACAGTTGGTATTTCATTTTCCATGGGTTTATCCATTGTCTTGCTTTCTGTCACCACCATGTCCTTTCGTAGCTGTGTTTTAGGAGGATTGTAGCCACTCAGACGAGAGGCTAAGCTCCTCTTAGGACGAGAACGCTTTGCCTGACAGAAATAAATCCAGAATTAGCAACTTAAGTTACCTATGGAGCAAGGACTGAATAGGGCAGTACTGCATTATTTAAAGGAGCTTCAGAAATTAAGAATCTCCCAAATTAGGTAGGTAGCTGGCCTGTTTTCCTGCTTGAAGTCACATTCTAAAATACATAACGCTTACCCTCCTCTGAAGTGAGAGGGTATGGTTTAGAAGACTTTTTCAAGAGTATAACTTACTTTCAAGTTCAGCTTTTTCTTTTCAGGATCATGTATAACTGTGTGCCTTGTTAGGCTCTGCTACAGTTACAAAGAGCAGGGAAAAAAAAAAGTTAGGTTTATAATTTCAGATTATGTGATTCAGATTAGGACAGCATAAAAATACGTACCTTCATTGCAAACACTCTTCCACAGCCTGGATAATCACAACAGAATGGTTTTTCCTCCTCATGAAAAGAAAGGATATGGCTTTGAAGGTTAAATACAGTTGTGTAAGTTCTCCCACATCCTTCTCTTGGGCATCGGCAGACTTCCCTCTCCACAGCATGTGTTTTTTGATGCTGCTTGAGGTAATCTTTCCGTTTAAAAGTTTTGTAACACTCATTGCAAACTATTGGCTCTGAGTGGGAGAGAGACAAGCAGAGTATAAGTTAACAGCTTCTTACAGGAGCTCAGAATCAAGCCCTAGCAGTCCTCTAGAACAATGCTAAAACCTACATGAAATGCAAGGAACGCAGAGACTGGAAGAGAAGAACGCAGTATGAATTGTCCACATCCAAATCCTACCTTATACAATTTCTTGTTCCCTGGATCACAAAGCAAAGTTAGTATACTGAGTAGCATTTTCATGAGTTAAAGGTCTAGCCAGAGTGACACCATTTTACCAATAAAGTGTTAGTAAACAAGTTTGTCTGGGCACAATGACAAGTTGATGAAATGCATTCAGCAAGGACTCCTCTTCAAATCAGCAGTTTGTTTCCTATTCATATCACAAGTTAAGTTCTATTTAGTAAAGCATTTGGAGATTACCTGTATGACTTTCTTTATTATGTTTCAGAAGCTCTGTCCAAGTTTTTCCGGTATATGAGCAGTTTTCTTTCTTGCATACATAGCCTGTTAGACAGGGCAAACGTTTACAGTCACAAACGTTCTGGCAAACACAGTCCAGTTTTACAAGGGGGAGCTCTGTTTTCAGCATTTGAAAATTAAAGGCCGGTATTCCCCCTCTCCTCCCATACTGCATGGTGATGGGACAAGGGACAACAAATGCAAATTAGAACATGAGAAAATCCTAACAGATTTAAGGAAGAAAGCTTGTATCACTGACACAAGTTGTCTGGAGAGGCTGCGAAATCCCTGCCCCAGGAAACACGCAAAACTTGACTGGACGCAGCCCTCAGCAACCTGGCCTAACTGACCCTGCCTTGAGCAGGGAGTTGGACTAGATGGCCTCCAGAGGTCCTTTCCAACCTAAATGATTTTATGAAACTCTCCTTGTTTCAGTAAAACTACTTCCTCAGCAGCCACACACTTTCACTCAAACAGATGAAAATAACTGTAATAGTATATATTATTTCTATGTAAATATTTGTGCTACACATTAAAAACATAAGATCTTGACCATACAGTAATATTCCTGAGTCTAAAGAGACTATCATCTATCAAGCAGACAGAATGGTTTTTAAATGAACCACAGAAAGTCAACGCTATTTAAAACTCAGGACTGGGAAGGTCAAACAACTACGAACAAGTCCCTGTCTTAAGAAAGGAACACATGACAAATCACAAATTTTGGATACTCTTCCTTGGGTTTGGTTGTTTTTTTTTTTTCTAGCACGGGAAAGCAGGTTACCTGTCAGTGCTGAAAGAATGGATAGAAGTGTAGCAGGATTAGCTCAAACATACAGGGCTGTTTCCTGACAATTCCACTTAAATACCTTTCACAGAGGTATATTAATAACTTGAAAAATGCAACCCTACATGGTTTTGCCAAGACTCCATAGGAAATCTGTGGCAGAACTGACAACTAATCCTAACCTCTGGAGGTCTATGCTAGTGCCTTAACCGTTAGCCCATGCATTATTGACAAGGAAGCACATTAGGAGAAGAAATGACAGAAGGAATCCTGAACTCTGTTCAGCCTGCCAGAAGCACATTGTAACTGAATACTGCAATGCCTTGCAACGTATCCCATTTGACTATTCAAAACTGGTGTTCCTGTTTGCCTTGTCTGGGTCACAAGGCCCAGAATACTTTCACAACTGTCGTACATCCCTGGATACTCTCTGTACTGGAAGAAGTCATTTTTCCTTTGATAAAACATAACTGAAGAAAAATTTTATTACCTTCATGTATCTTCTCATGCCGCTTTAGTTGACTTGGAGTAGAAAAGAACTTTCCACATCCTTCATTATTACATCTAAGTATAAAGTACAACGGTTTAATTTCTTTCACTGCATCCGCCTATATTTTTTTTTAAGTCAAGAACAGTTAAGGCTGACAAAACAATCCAAGTTTCCCCCTGCCTAGAGATCTGTTCTGTGTCCCCCCACCCCCTATAAAGTAAATTCCATAATATGTTTCTGACAGAGGACTCCGATCCTCTTGAGAGTTAAAACTATGGTTATGATTTCCATGTATACGGCAGGTTAAGCTCTAGTTAAAGAATCAAGCCTCATATCCTCCCTACACAGTAGGCTCTTCAAACATAAAAGAGGGACAGAAAGTGGAGCGTTTAAGTGGCTTGTACAGATCTAGCAGTCAGAGCAGTAGCAGAGCACTGACTGTATTTTCATGCCCATCACCTAGCCATACCAGTGCACTTCCCTTAAGCGGAACATCCTGTAAAGTGTTTCACCTGTAAGAAATACAAGACTAAACTTTGCTTTCATCCGATCTGCACTGATGCGTCATGTAAATAGCGGAGTTGCAATGCACAGCTTCTCAGATTAGTGTCCAAGCCTGTCACCTTTTTTAAGCTACCACTCACTTCAGTGTTGGCCAAGCCACTGCTTTTTAGTGGAAAACAGAGGTAGCTGCATTTTTCATTACTGTGCAAGCTCTTATGCTTGTATTTCAGAGTGTGTGAACTCAAAACTGGTGTTTTTTGTTTATTTTTCCTGTGAACCTATAATAAACCCTAAGAAAATATCTGGAATGCTGACGCTGCAGAGCACCAAGACTGTTTCTCTAAACAGAGTACTGAGCAAAGGACTAGTAGGAGAAATGTACTGGCTGCCATGACGACAAATTCATGCCAGTTTTTTTCAAATGCCACATCAATGAAAAGGTTGAGAAAAGGCACCTCTTTTCACCTACAGCGTTTAAATGGAATTGTCAAAGTTCATTATTAAAATTATCCACCTACTTGAAGGGAGGTTCATTGGTGTGGTGACACTGATGAACTTTAAGTTGTTGATGCTTCCTGAAAGACTTGTTACAGCCTTCAAAGTCGCACTATTTAGGAAATTAAGTTACCATTAGAAGCCAAATAATGACAGCCTAGTCCATATGTGTTTGCTGAAATCCCAAGTACTGCATTATAACAAGTTGAAGTATTTCACTAGATACACAAAAAGGAGCTTGTTTAGCTTCCACTTTACAGTATCAAAGGCAATTACTCACCACATACTGCTTTTGCTTATTTTCATGCTTGCGCTCAATGTGCTTCTTTAAGTTTGATTTTGTTCCAAATTTCTGATTGCACCCATCAGCTGTGCACCTGCAAATAAACTGCAGTTTTTATTATCACTCTCAGTGATTTGTTTCCTAGGCAGATACAGAAATCATTGGACAAGAGGAATACGTGAAGAATAACCAAAACTCACAACCCAAATATAAAAATTTGCTTTAAAGACACGAGGCTAAGTTACAATCAAAAGCTGTGGAAAGCATATCAGAAGAGATTTTTAATAAAACACATAGGAATTCCTAGCTCCTTCCTTTTAATTCCGCATTCTAGGGAGAGACCTGCCCATTCCTTTAAGCATCTATTATGGATCACTGCCACATATGTGGGAGGTTTGAGGCGAGGGAGATTCCCCAAGTCTCACACGGTTGCGGCAGCACTCAGGATACCAAACCGTGCGCTGTGCCACCCACACAGCAGTTCTAACTCCCCTTCGTTTCCATAAGGACAAGCGTAATCCATTTTAAGAAGTAAAAACCATTTGGCCTTACTCGAACGGCTTTTCCCCCGTGTGCGTGAGAAGGTGCCGAGCGCGGTGGAACTCTCTCGTGAAACCTTTACCGCAGCCTTCGTAATCGCAAACATACGGCCTCTGTAATAAGATTTTTAGTAACATGGTCTCTGGAAGGGAGGGGGTTGTTCAGAAACGGCAAACCGCACCTCAGGGGGCTCGGCTGTTAGCAGGGGGCTGCCTTCAGCCACAGGCGGTATTTCAGGCACACCCCGCACAGCCCCCCCGGGCTCTCGGGTACCCAAAGCAGGCTGCCCCCCTCTCCCGGGGGC